TGGTCCTTGGTAATTCATAACATGCAGGTCAATGGCTGCCGGTACTTTTAGAGTAAACAAAAAACATACAGAACAAGCAAATCAAAATTAATAGCTGTGGCTCCTGACAATATGCATATGGATGAAATGAATAAGCTTACATTTAAAAACGATTATTTTCAATTTATTTTAGGAAAATGGAACTCCAAATTAGGGCTGCAATATATATCGTTTCAGCATCGATATCTCAATGTGTGCATCCTGAATAGTCAGATCGCAGGATATGCAATGTCAAATTGAGGTTATAGTTACTAGTAGCTACAGTTGAATTGTGGAGTCATTGCAAAATTTGACCAAAAACTTTATCTTTTTCATTTGTTTTTAACGCGTGTCACTGTATGACTTTAACTTTAAATAACTTTAATAAAGATTCATTGTATTTATGTACATATGCAATGAAGATTATATAGTGTTGTTTTACATTTAATCAATGTCATGTACCTGAATAGACTAATAAAGAATGTTTCATTTCATTTCATTTGGATGTTTCCCAGAGATAGGTTGCAGCTGGAAGGGCATCCGCTGCGTAAAAACATGCTGGATAAGTTGCCGGTCCATTTCGCTGTGGCGACCCCGGATTAATAAAGGGACCAGCCTGACCAGCTACGACCAGGCTGGAAATGGCTGGAAACCAGCCTGGAAATGGCCAAAACCCCTCTAAAACCAGCCTGGTCGACCGGCTAAAACCAGTCAACTAGCCTAGGCTGGGTTAAGCTGTTTTTTTTCAGTAGGGCTGGAAGAGTTATTAAATAAATAACCAAATAAAGGTTTAAAAATAACCCAACAAAGCAGAAAATATTTAACTCAACTAGTCAAGTTATTAATAAATAATCGAATGAAGCTTAAAAATAACATAAACAAAGGACCAAATATGTTTTACTCAACAACTGGGTTAAAGAAATAACTCAACGTTTTTTAAAGTGCTATACAAGCGCACGCTTCACAGCCAATCTATATTAAACGAATAAAAAGTGTCTGGAACTTAAGATTTTATAGAAATAAAGCAGTTTAATGTTTTAGTAAACTGTATGTTATTTATTTAGCAATAGTAATTCCAGAATTGAAGAAAGAAAGAAAAACCATTTCATCAAAATTACATTGGGTAAAAAATAACCCATAGTTAGGAATGTGCTATATTAAACTACAGTTGGGTTATATTTTAACCCAACAATTTTAACTGAGTTACAACAGATACTTTAAACACTACTTGAAATACTACTTAAATACTACTTGCACTACATTTTTGGGTAATGATACTTTTACTTGAGTATGATTGTTAAGTACTCTTTCCACCACTGGTTTTCACAACACAAATCAATTAAGTCAAATTTAAATGTTAAATGTAAGCAAATAAGTTGTCCCCAAAAAAACACACAAAATAATTGTGTTGTTTTAACTTATTATTATTATTATTAAATATGTAATCTGAGAAAGCAGCAAAATATTCTCTTTCTTATAATTTCTCACATGGTAAACTAAAATACAAAATTGGACTGATTGTACTGATTTAAAATGGTCTCTCATGATGGTCTTCCCATGTTTTATATCAGGGGTGTTCAAACTCAGTCCTGGAGGGTCGGTGTCCTTCATAGTTTAGCTCCAACTTCCTTCAACAGATCTCCTTGGAGGTTACCAGTATACCTAGAAAGAGCTTGATTAGCTGATTCAGGTGTGTTTAATTGGGGTTGGAACTAAAATATGCAAGACACCGGTCCTCCAGGACTTGGACACCCCTGTTTTATATCAAATACGAATAAAGTGTTTTAAAGGAGCAACAGAAAATTTATATTTTATTTTCCTATAATATTATTATGAAACAACACCATGTATTTTTGCAGTATAAATATGCATAATCACACACACATGAACAATGTAGAGCACTGGAATTCAATTTATTCTATCCAGAATGTTCTACCTGCTCTGCAAAAGCAAATGAAATGGGCTGTGATCTTAAGAGACGGCTTCATTTGTTGTGAACTGCATGTGAAGACAGCGGGCCCGCAGTGAGCCGTGTTGGCAGAGCCGGGCCCCCAATGCCCAGCTCTATTAGGGCACAGTCTCTCTGCTGGGCTTTGGCAGAAACCAATCCACATTTTCATTCTAACCTCCTTTCCTATTCTTTTGTATGAAATTAGAATTTATTAAAGCTCCTTGGACAAAGGCGTGCAGAGAAAAGTAAGAGTCAAAGTTGGTGTCTTGAGGCAGATTGAGGAGATAGCGGCCCTGGAGGGATTTTTCACTGATAAAGTCTTGTTTTAGCAGGCTGTCTGCGGTTTTTGTTGAAGTAAGAACTGTAAATTGTTTGCTTTGTGATGCTTAGGTGCACACGGAAGCTGAGAACTTAAACAGAAAATGGTAAACAAAAGTGACGCGAACACTTTTAACCGTTAACAGTTAACTTACCTGAACTAAACAAACGAACTTTAACTTACCAGAAACACTTTAAGATGAGAAGGTCTCCATCGAGTGTCTTGGCATCTTGTTGCAGGTATGTGAAGATTTATGTTTAAATAATCTAGTCACGCATTGTTTACTAGAAACTAGAAAAGAAGCATTTCTTCAAAGGAAACATTACGTTAGCTTAGGCCTCGAGCGGTTTGATAAACACAACAGTGACATCCACTGGCGGGAACGCGCAAATGCACAGCCTTAATAAGGGAAATGGACGTTTTGCTATAGTTACGTTTTTAATTAATTTCAAATATAAGTATACTATATCTATTATAATGTTGCATAATTCATAAAACATATTTGTGAACCCGGACTACAAAACCAGTCATATTGTTCTGAAATAATTCAGATAATTTTTTTTCCCTAAAATCTGAATAAATTAGCTTTCCATTATGTTTCCTGTTAGGAATCAGGATAGTATTTGGCAGAAATGCACTTGAATGTTATCAGTTATATTTGATGAATTATGAATATAAGTTATATTAAATAGAACTGAATTTGCAATAAATAAAAATCTGTAATCTGAGGGTTCAAAGTTGTCTAAATTAAGTGCTTAGTGATGCATTTTGAGTTTTTGTTTTACTAATTATGTCAGGAAAGGTACCACATATATTTATGGAACATGATCCTTATTTAATATTCTAATGATTTTTGTCGTAAAAAAGAGATCATTTTAATGCATTTCTTTTACTATTTCCACAATTATCCCCATGCAAAAGGCTGGTTTTGTGGCCCCCCTGTTTATTTTTTTCCCAATTTCTGTTTAACAGAGAGAAGATTTTTTTTCAGCACATTTATAAACATAATATTTTCAATAACTCATTTTCTAATAACTGATTTATTTTATATTTGTCCTGATGACAGTAAATAATTGATTAGATATTTTTCAAGACACTTCTACATCTTAAAGTGACATTTAAAGGCTGAACTAATTAGGTTAACTGGGCAGGTTAGGGTAATTAGGCAAGTTATTGCATAATGATGGTTTGTTCTGTAGACAGTCAGAAAAAAATAGCTTAAAGGGGCTAATAACTTTGACCTTAAAATAGTGTTTAAAAATTAAAAACTGCTTTTATTCTAGCCAAAATAAGACTTTCTCCAGAAGAAAAAATATTATTAGACATACTGTGAAAGTTTCCTTGCTCTGTTAAACATCATTTGGGAAATATTTTAAAAGACACTGAGGAAGGCATTGTGCTGAAACATTTGTGTTTTTGAATCACCTGAAGAATGTAAAAATAAAAACAGTACGAAGCAATTACTTGATGAATGCGAAATATTACCTTTTTGAATAATAGTAATGACAAGATTGACGCACCAAAGAAGTTGTTTAAAAATTGTGAGCGGAAGAAACTTCATTAATCTAAAGTTTTTATAAAAAGACAAAAAAAAATCAAAGGGGGGCTAATAATTCTGACTTCAACTGTATATATATATAATATACATAAATATATTAAACTATATATGCATATATATATATATATATATATATATATATATATATATATATATATATATTAATAATTTAAATTTTATTTTATTTTAAAGTAATTCAAATAAATGTATTTTAAAATATGAGAAATTTCAAATTATTATAAAAATTTAAAATGTGAAATTATTTGAAACCTACATGTTATCAACACTCTAAAAAGCACAGGGTTAAAATCTACCCAAATTTGGTTGTTTTTAACCCTACTGCTGGGTAAATATGGGACAGAACACATCAGGGGTTAAATTAACCCAAGTAATTGAGTTATTATTTTTAACCCCAATAAATGGTTTGTTTTTCTACCCAATAATTGGTTACTTTTTTACTTAAATAATAAGTTAATTAGATCCAAAAATGTGTTGCCACAGAGGAATGAACCACCAATTTCTGTGGCATATGTTTTACACAACAGGAACCCAGTACTGGGAAAACAACAAGTGAATAACAGGTTAGAAAGTACAGTTGAATTCAAAATAATTCGCCCTTCTATTTATTTTATTTTATCTTTTCTTTTTCTAATATTTCCCACATGATGTTTATCAGAGCAAGGAATTTTTCACAGTATGTCTGGTAATATTTTTTCTTCCAGAGAAAGTGTTATTTGTTTTATTTCAGCTAGAATAAAAGCAGTTTTTAATAATAATAAAAAACACTTTAAGGTCAAAATTATTAGCCCCCTTCAGCAATACATTTTTAGATTGTCCACAGAACCAACCACCGTTCTACAATGATTTGTCTAATTACTTGCCTAATTAACCTAGTTAAGTCGTTTAATGCTGCTTTAAGCTGAATACTAGTAGCCTGAAAAATATCTAGTAAAATATTATGTGCCGTCATCATGGCAAAGAAATTAGGAAAAATAATATATTTTTATATATCTATTTGTCCACTAGATGGCAGAAGCTGCAGTTAATTGAGAAGTTTTCTCTAACTTAAACTTAATTAACTGATCATTTAGCTGTAGTAATGAGTTCAGATGCTTCGGTCAGTGTTTGCAAAAAACAGACACAGTACAACAATGTGATTTTCATAATGCATTTGTTGATTTATTGTTAAATCCTTGGCCTTCTGCAAGGCAACAATCAGTGATGCGTGTGCTTTCAGAACCTGTGCAGTCAGCATCACTTCTCAGGGAAACAGACCCAGTGATAAACAGTCTCACACACACGTTGATCATATGTGAGCATTTGCTGATCTTTCAGCCTGTGTGAATGTGTTTGTGCCTTTCTTTATAACAATACTTCATACTCTCTCATCGTTTATCTGCTTTAAAGTGAGACACGGCAGGCAAAAGCAGTCAAAAAACTTTGTATGACAGTTAATTTGGAGATTTCTGTTTCAGTCGGATGTAAAGAAGACATTTAAAAAACATTTTATGACTTTCATTTAATTTTAATTATTTATTTTCTACTTTAGCAGCACCTACTGTACAGTATATTGGGGAAAAGTACAGATTTAGTCAGACATGTCTTGCTTATTATTCTTTATTAATATATGTATATCACATAGTTATTATATCAGTTTATTCTACAAAGAAGTGTGGAATTTAACTAATATTATTGGCATTCTTCTGAATTATGAAGTGATAAAAGAAATGCCCCAAATCCCCTTTGTAAAAAAAAAAAAAACATTTAACTCAAATGTATGCAAAAAATAACCATAATAATAATCAATTTAAATAATTGATCCTGAATTCATCTGAAGTTGAAATTTGGATACTAGAATTTCTGGTCCAGCACCACAATCATAACACAATATAATTTTACTTCTATTATCTTAGTTTTTGAAGAATTCCCCATACACCCTATCTCCCCGTTTCCTCCTTTACGAGGGGGAGCTCTCGAGACCTTCCTGATCTCTGACCCCCTTCTATGCTATACGACCGGGCGGGAGCCCTGGGCTCAAGTATCTCCAAACTCAGGGTTCTCTCCCGGGACAGCATGCCAAACCTGCAATCAGTATCAAGCAATAGCTAAGTGTGAACTCTTAAAAAAAAAAAACAATAGCTCTAATTTGCATATTCAAACCTAACATTTTGGTAAACTTGACAATAAACTATTTTTTAGCAAGTCTTATACTATATATAGACCAAACTACAGTTTTATTCATAACTAATGTATAATCTGAAGAGTTTTTATAATTTGCCTGATTATATACAATATTTTATTCCACAAAAAGTTGTACAAAATATTTATTTGGCATGTTTTTATTCTGAATTATGGAGTTTAATCATAAAACATTTAATATGTGAAAACAAATTATATATATATATATATATATATATATATATATATATATATATATATATATATATATATATATATATATAATTTATTTATTTATTTTTTTAATTATTATTAGAATTCATCCAATGTTGAGATTTTGGTGCAAGAATCATATGCAAATGAGTTCATGTTTAATGGAAAACACATAATTTGCATATTCAAACATACAGTTTCATTAAACGTAAATCAACAAATTTTTAGCAATTCTTACACACCAAACTTTACAGTTTTATTAATAACTACTCTATATTCTGAAGATTTTAACAAAAGAACAAATTCAAATAAATCTGTGTGATTATACACATTATTTTATTCCACAAAAAGCTTTTTTTTTATGGAATTATGAAGTAATAAAAAGAAAACTCATTCGTAAAACATTTAATATGAGAAAAAAAATATATTCACATTTTATTTTTATTAAAATTCATCCAATGTTGAGATTTTGGTGTGAGAACTGTATGCAAATGAGCTCACCTTTAATGAAATAAGCCTTATTTGCATATTCAAACATAACATTTTAGTGAAAATTATAGATTTTTTAGCAGTTCTTACAGACCAAACTTAACAGTTTTATCGAAAACTACTGCATATTCACTTTTTATATAGAGGAATAAATTTACACATAATTTGCCTGATTATATACAATATTTTATTTCAAAAAAATTTGTGAAAATGTATTTATTTGGCTGTTTTTACTTAATTATGGAGAGATTAAAAAACACCTCATTCGCAAAACATTTAATATGAGAAAAAATATATATTAGAATTTTATTATTAGAATTCAACCAATGTTGAGGTTTTGGTGTGAGAACTGTATGCAAACGAGCTCATGTTTAATTGAATAAGCCTCATTTGCATACTCAAACATAACATTTCAGTAAACTTAAATAAATCATTTTTTAAGTAATTTTTACCGACCAAACTTTAAAGTTTTATTCATAACTACTGTATAATCTGAAGAGTTTTACACAGGAATAAATTCAGACATATTTTGCTTGATTATGTACAATATTTGGCTGTTTTTTTTTCTGAATTCTGGAATGATAGAAAAGACCCCTTGCATAAAACATTTAACCCTAATATGTGATTTTTTTATTATTATTAGAATTTTTCCAATGTTGAGATTTTGCCAGAATTGTGTGCAAATTAGCTAGTATTTAATGAAATATGCCTAATTTGCATGTGCAAACGTAAAATTTCAGTTAACTTAAATAAATAAAAAATAGTTTAGTAGTTCTTACAGACCATACTTAATGGTTTTATTGATAACCACTGGATATGCTAAAATGTTTTACTGAGGAATAAATTCAGACTAATTTTATACTGATTTTATTTGACAAAAAAGTTTGGAAAATGTATTTATTTGGCTGTTTTTTTTCTGAATTATGGAGTGATAAAAAGAAACCTGATTTGTAAAACATTAATATGTGAAAAAAAACAATATTATATATAATATTATATATTATATTATTATACAATATTATAATTCTATTATTATCAAAATTCATCTAATGTTGAGATTTTGGTGTGAGAATTATATGCAGATTAGCTTATATTTAATAAAATAAGCCCTATTTGCATATGCACACATTTTATTAAACTGGTATTTAATTAATTTATTTTTTTGCAATTCTTAATGTAATCAATCATGGTGAAGTATTTGTCAATAAATATTTATTATTTTTTGACCCTATTTTCCAGCAGTGTCTCACCTTAAAGCTTGAAAAAGTTCACATTTGCAATGGCAGATGAGCACAATTGTTAAAGACAGGAATAAAACAAGTTCTCTTTCATCAAACGTAAGACAATAACTCTGAATAAATAAACGGCATGAACATTCACAAACATCTTTTCTCTGGCAGGATGTCCATAAATACAAACCACCCACAGCTTTACAAATTCGCTTGATTAAAAAAAAATAAAAATAATTAGCCAAACGAACAAAACAGACGAAACACTATTTTACAAAAAAACAAAAACAAATCTGGAATGATTCGAGGCAAAAATAAAACAGCCCATTTAAATACATGTTATAAAGGAGACAATGTACAGTCTGTAAAACTTTAGTAGCCTTAGTAATGTTACAGATAGATATGGTCTTTTTAGTAACATCGAGGAGAAGTGCATAGCAAAATAGAGCGCAATTATCTTGCAGTCGCCGTGTAAAATCCTGATCGACTGACGGGTAAAAAAAGCGTCAAACTCAAACATTTAAGGCAGAGAAGATCATTTGAAATTGGCATAGTCTGAGAAAATGTCGACAAAGTCCTGTACCACTCTGTAGCAGAAGTCATACTGTTCCTGCACACACAAACAGAGAAATATAGGTGTCAAATATGTATATGTAATAATAATAATAAAAATAAAATAAATAATAATAATAATAATATTTTTTTTATGAACAAGAAGTCTATTGTTCCTGCAGACACTGATAAATATAATAATAATAATAATAATAATAATAATAATAATAATAATAATAATAATAATAATAATAATAATATTAATAACAATAATAACAATAATAATAACAATAATAATAAAATAATAATATAATAATAAAATAATAATATAATAATAATAATAATAATAATAATAATAATAATAATAATAACAATAATAATAATAATAATAATAATTATTATTATTATTATTATTTATCTTAATATTATTATTATTATACAAATTTTTTAGATACTAGAGGTCTTCAATGTTCCTGCAGACACAGAGAAATAGATGTTAACATGAATAAATAAATAAATAAATAAATAAATAAATAAATAAATAAATAAATAAATAAATAACAGTTAGGATAATAATGACAATTTTTGAGGTACTAGAAGGATTTACTTTCCTTCACAGAGACACAGAGAAAAATATGTAAAACATATAATAATAATAATAATAATAATAATAATAATAATAATAATAATAATAACAATAATGATAATAATTAGTATCATAATAATAATAATAATAATAATAATAATTATTATAATTATAATAATTATAATTATTATTATACAAATGTTTGAGATACTAGAGGTCTTTATTGTTCTAAACAGAGATAAATATGTGTAAATATAAATAAATAATTAAATAAATAAATATATAAATAAATTAGAATAATTAGAATAATAATTTTTTATTTATTATATATTTTATATTTGATATAATAATATATTTATGAGGTAATAGAAGTCTTTATTGTTCCTGAAGACAGAGAAATATATGTATAAAATAATAATAATAATAATAATAATAATAATAATAATAATAATAATAATAATAATAATAATAATAATGATAATAATAATAATAATTATTATTATTATTATTATTATTATTATTATTATACAATTGTTAAAGATACTAGAGGTCTTTATTGTTCCAGACACAGAGAAATATATGTAAATATAAATATTAGAATAATAATACATTTTTGAGTATTAGAAGTCTTTATTGTTCCTGTAGACACAGAAAAATATATGTATAATAATATAAAATAATAATAATAAGTATAATTATAATCTGTTTTGTCTTTTATTATCAATCACATTAACTATCATGTATTTGCAATTAATAAATGTAACTAAATATTATTTAAATATTTATTCAATATTACAAATGTCTATTTCAATTGTTATATTTCAAATGTAAGTAAATTAATATCAAAGTAAAGCAAAGTAAAATAATCTGTTAAATTTGTAGAGATTAGGAAAATCTATGTTTGCCATAAATTTTAACTGAAAATTTAATTACTATTTCATATATATATATATATATATATATATATATATATATATATATATATATATTTATTTATATACATAAATTAATTAGGATAATTACAGTAAAATAAATTTGGATTGTTTTAATATTAATGATTATTTATTACTTTACTCATTATTGAAATATATATTCATTTATATCCCTTTTATTAAAAGACAATAAAATACATTAAAATTGGTATTAAACATACGATTCATAATAATGGGAGGAATATTAAACACAAATATGTTTTAAATATTATTATTAATTACACATACCACTGTCTGCACCATGTGTGGCCGCTGCATTCGTAAACTCTTGACAGTCTGAAACACATCCAGCAAACCCTCGGCTTTCACTCGCTCCAGGATATTACTGAGAGCAATAAACGTACCGGTCCGACCCGCACCCGCACTGCACACACACAGACAGACAGACAGTGGGAAAAACACACATCAGTTTCATGAAGGTTTCAGAGATAAAGCCTTTCTAAAATAATTCATCATACAATCCATCATACAGTATCAGTAGTTTTAGACAGCGAGTGGAGTGTGTGTGTGTGTGTGTGTGTGTGTGTGTTGTACCTGCAGTGCACAATGATGGGGTGGTTTCCCGACTGCTGCTGCTGTTTCTGAACCGCTGCGATGATGTCGATCATCCCTTTACCTTCGGCTGGGATCCCGATCTCTGGCCAACCGTGGAAATGAAAGTGTCGAACCAAACGCGTCTGCTTCTCCTTTTGAACAAAACACACACAGTAAATCCACATATTCACTCCCCCCAAAAAAAACTTTGATGGTGAGATGATGAAAATGGTCTGATTTTCAGATTCTGCTTTGCTTGAGATATAGTTTGCGATGTTGTGATTCTCGGTGTTTCTGCTTGGTTTAGTTCATCATTGCTGGCAGCACAGCACTTTAACAAAGACCTTTTAAAACTCGTAGAGAAAAAAAGCATAGTAAAAATACTAAAAAGTCCCCATGAAGTCAAAATGAAAGCTTTTTGGGTGTAAATATCAATACTTTAATAGTCTTAAAGGGATAGTTCACCCAAAAAAAAAAAATGTACTCACTATTTACTCACTCTCGAGTGGTTTTAATGCTTTATGAGTTTCTTCCTTCATTCATTCATTTTCTTTTCAGCTTAGTCCCTTTATTAATCAGGGGTCGCCACAGCGGAATGAACCATCAACTTATCCTGCATATGTTTTACACAGCGGATGCCTTTCCAGCTGAAACCCAGTACTGGGAAACACCCATACACTCATTCACACTCATACACTACGGCCAATTTAGTTTATTTGATTCTCCTATAGCGCATGCGTTTAGACTTTGGGGGAAACAGCAGAGGAAACATGCAAACTCCACAAAGAAATACCAACAGACCCAGCAGGGACTTGAACCAGCGACCTTCTTGCTGTGAGGCGACAGTACTAACTACTGAGCCACCATGTTGCCCTTTATGAGTTTCTTACTTCTCTCAAACACTAAAGAAGATATTTTGAAGAATGCTGAAAACCTGTAACCATTGACTTCCATAGAAGGAAAAACAAACACTCTACAGGTTAAGCCTGGTTTATACTTCTGCATCGAGTGATCGGCTGACCCACGGCGCATGCCTCGTGCGATGCTGTGCATTTAAACTTCTGAGAACTGATTGTGTTGCTCTGCAATAACACTTCCAAAATGCTAGCTGGCAGTATGTTTTTATGTTTCTCTGTGTTGAGTTTCTTCGCTGGTGTTTTGTTTTTTCTGAACTCTACCTTAATGTAGATCTAGCTCAAACTCGCTTATTTTGAGGCGGGAACTGGCGGACGTGCAACAACTTTGATCATAAGGTAAACGAAACAAAACTTTCCATCTGGACCTCCTACATGGGACTCGATACTTGTAAACTCTCGCTTAATCTGGCTCGCGCGGCTCTTGGTCCCACCCACACCCATCAGCGCCTACAAGCCGACCAATCAAAGAGCTTGCGCTATGCGACTTGTAGTTACATTTTTTGAGAGGTGCGCGTCAGGGATGGCGACTGCCACCGCGAGAGCTATGCGTCCACACGCAAGCTGTGCCAGAGCATACCCGTGCGTTTGACGCAGAAGCATAAATCAGCCTTTACAGGTTTTCAGCTTTCTTCAAAGTATCTTCTTTTGTGTCTGCGCAACCTACAGTTGTGGCAGTTTTCACTTCCATAGCAATTTTTGCTAAATAATAACTAAAACAAACAAATTTAGGTGGCATGGTGGCTCAGTGGCCTCACAGCAAGAAGATCGCTGGTTTGAGTCCCAGCTGGGCCAGTTGGAATTTCTGTGTGGAGTTTGCATGTTCTCCACGTGTTTGTGTGGGTTTCCCCAACAGTCCAAAAGACATGCGCTATAGGTGAATTCAATAAACTAAATTGGCTGTAGTGTATGTGTGCGTGTGTGTGAACGTGTATGTGAATGTGTGAGAGTGTATGTTTCCCAGTACTGGTTTGCGGCTGGAAGGGCATCCGCTGCATAAAACATAAGCCGGAATAGTTGGCGGTTCATTCCTCTGTGGCAATCCCTGATAAATAATTCATTTATTCATTTTCTTGTCGGCTTAGTCCCTTTATTAATCCGGGGTCGCCACAGCGGAATGAACCGCCAATTTATCCAGCAGGTTTTTACGCAGCGGATGCCCTTCCAGCCGCAACCCATCACTGGAAAACATCCACACACACACTCATACACTACGGACAATTTATCTCATTTAATTCACCTGTACCACATGTCTTTGGACTTTGGGAGAAACCGGAGCACCCAGAGGAAACCCACGCGAACGCAGGGAGAACATGCAAACTCCACACAGAAACGCCAACTGAGCCGTGGATCGAACCAGCGACCCAGCGACCTTCTTGCTGAGAGGCGAATGTGCTACCCACTGCGTCACTGCGTCGCCCCTGATAAATAATGAAATATTAATTAAGCTTCATAATTACTAATGGAAGTAATTTTTCAAAAGAAAATCTGCTTAATGCATGCGGTGATGTAAAATGCATCAAGCAGTTCTGAAAAAGCATCACCACAACCAGCTGTAAATGAACAAACTGTAAATATTTTGAGTATTGGCATTGGGCTTTTTGGCTTGTTTGATTGGCCATCGGACTAACTCTGCTTTGAAAACCTTGCAACCCTGAAAAGCAGTCACTCATTCACATGTAAATGAGAGTTTCATACTAAGATTTGTCTAAACCCTTGTAAATACCGGCGTATATAAAACAGCAACAGTGTTAATCTGTCAATAGTGTTAATAGTGATAATCCTATTCATGCTATAGTTGAAATTGCATCACATATTAACCAAAGCTGTGTATTTTAGGGCACTTCAGAAGACCTTTAAACAGAATATTAGCGGTCACAGACTCACAGGGGTGTGCGTGAGCACCAGATCTCTGAGGCTGAAGGTTTCACACAGCGTGTCTCCTTTAATCTCCACACTGAACTCGCCGTAAGTCACAGAGTCCTCAGAAGGCCAGTACTGAAAACACTTGTCCTGCAACACACAAACATACAGGAGGAAAGACTTAATGTCCACATAAACCAGAAGCTGTGACCGTTTTTTTGCATTAAGACGCAGTTCCTAGAAAAAAAAAAGAATATTAAATGAGAAAACGGTGGGCGTGGCTTGTTTTTTCTACTGCGAGCTGATTGGATGTAGTAAAGTAGGCATTTCATTCAGAAAAATGGGTTTGGGGAGAGTTAACAGACTCCTCCTGTTCACCATTTCTGTTTGGTGCCATCTGTTTGTTGTCAATATTAATAACTAGGGGTTTAAAAATTAATTGTTTCTTCGGTGCACCGCGAAGCAGTCGCGGACAATTCGGTATCGATTCAGTAATAACCATAACCGGTTATTATGTACTGACGTCATTTATCTCCTATGCGCTCTGTCGCGAGGGAGGTGAGCGCCGGTATTTACAACACTAAGCCAACTCAGGGCCGGCCCGTGGCATAGGCACCATAGGCAAATGCTTAGGGCGCTGTATATCCAGTGGGGCGCCAGAAATGAGCGCGGTTCAGTTGGTTTTGTTTTCGATTTTCCTGACACACATTCAGTTATAGACGGCAATAACTCAAAAACCTCTCACCCTAAAAAGATCTAAAGTGTGTTTCCTACAGAAAGACAAAGCTGGTTATGTTTCACAGCTGTCTTTCTTTTTTTTCGCTCGACATTACGAGCACTGCTCCGTTTAAGTACTCGCAGTCTGCGTTTACTTTAGCCGCCAGAGCTCGCACTGAGAGGAGCTCTCAGTAAGGGACCGTCAGAAAAGTGCTTATTTTTTTCATTTTTTTTTTTCTTTTTTCTGCTCCGCTCAACCCGAGCTCTCCCTGTTGAAAGGGCTTAAGTGTGTTTGTTTGTGTGTGTGTGTGTGCATCTGTGTGTTTGTTTGTTTGATGCTGTCTATGTTTGTGAATGTGTTTGAATGAGAGACAGTGTGTTGCTGTGTGTCTGTGTGTTTATACAGACAGCATGTTATAGCCTCCCCCCTAAAATATAACACTGTATATGGAAAGCATCGTCAATGCACCGTGATGCACCGAGATATCGAATTGAACCGAATCGATGGCATGATAATCGTAACTGAACCGAACCGAACCGTGAGACCAGTATAGATTCACACCTCTATTATTAACCCTCCTGTGATTTTTTTTTTTTCTTTTTCAAACATTTCCCAAATGATGTTTAACAGAGCAAGGAATTTTTTCACAGTATATCCTATGATATTTTTTCTTCTGGATAAAGTCTTATTTGTTTTATTTCGGCTAGAATAAAAGCGATTTACATTTTTTAAAATCCATTATATGGCCTATATTATTAGTCCCCTAAAGCAATATTTGTTTCTGTTTGTCTACAGAACAAACCCTCGTTATACAAAGACTAATAATTCAGGAGGGCTAATAATTCTGATTTAAACTGTATGTATTTGCCTGTATGTGCACACATGTTTTTGTGTATGTACATATGTATTTGCAAGTGTGTGTGTGTGTGTGTGTGTGTACCTGATCTCTCTCCTGCAGTTCTGTCAGCATCACGATCGAGTGACACTTCCATTCCCACGCCATCCTCCAGAAATCATCCACGGTGTGCACCAGAGGACCCTGCGTGGCAATGTAGTAGTCCTTCTGCCGATAGCCCTAAAAAAAAAACACAGCAAGATCTAAAATACCAATACACAGACTAAGAAAATATTCATACAAAAACTAATAAAAAAAACAAACACAAACTGATAAAAAAATAAATACACAAACTGATTAAAGTTTATTTGGAACTGCAAGAATACATGGTTTAAATGGTCTTTAAATAGTTTAAAAATACAGTTTTACACAATTGCTTAAAAACTTTTTTTAAAGAAATTAATAATTTGACAATACTTTATTCATTTTTATTCATGTTGTTTGACTTTATATCTACAGTAGGATGCATTAATGTTAGAAAAAGTGACTATATTTATGTAACATATAAATATTTTTATCCATTTCTGAGTTAAAAAAAAAGCAAGGGCGTAGATTTGGCATGGACGGAGGGGATGTGTCCCCACCAATATCCAGCAATTACTGAAATGTCCCCACCAATAATTTAATCACCTTCAAAATAAAATAATGCTCTGTCAACCGTAACATAGACATGCAGAAAGGGTTCAATCAAAACACATAAGGACAGTGTGATTGTTTGGATCTATTTATGCTGTTAATAGCTATGTTTCCATCCACCTATTTTATGCGCATTTTGCAAATGCGCATAAAAAAACAGTTGATGGAAACGCCATGATGCGCATAAATTTTGAAAATGCGCATAAAAAACGTATGCGCCTAACTGGGTAGGATAAACTTTTTATTCGATAAGAAAAGATGCGCATAAACTGCGATGGAAACACTTTTACCGCACAAACTCCAGCATGCGCATTAAAAAAGGTCATGTGATTTTGTTAAAAGAGATCATGTGTGTAACGTCGAGGAGTAACACTCACAACAGAAGGTAAGATCCAATATGCAGGTTTATTCTTTGTCAGGCAATGGTCAAAACAGGTATGAACAGGTATATGCGGGCAAATCCAGAGTCGTAATCGAGGAACAGGCAAAAGGTCGAAAGGCTGGCGGCTAAACAGGATAACTAGGATACAAAGCTAGGTTCAGACATGGAGAAACAAGACGCGTTGTAATGCTACTTTACAGTGAACAAGACTCGGCAAACTGGAAGCGTGAATGTGTGGCTTAAGTATGGTGTGATATCAGTCTGTGACAAGGTTCAGCTGGTGATTGCAATCAGGATAGATGAATGACCAGGCGTACGTGTTTGGAAGAAGTGCATGTATGAAAATGTAGTCCTGGGATATGCGGAAGTGTAGTTCAAGTATAGTGGCAACCAGCGATCTCCTGGAGAATGATCGCTGGTTATCGTAACAATGTAATGCTTAAAATGTGTGTGAATGGATAAAACGTCAGGCTGAGCACATTATAAAACCTCTAAAATGTTATTTTGGTCATTATAAAACGCCTTCCAATTTCAGTATTAATGTTAATATATTATTAATGACCTCCAGAATCAAGAGCGCCTGTGCTCCGCGTCTGACACCTTCAAACGCCACTGCGCGCTCACTGCTTGTCAGGATTGTCTTCTGAGGCGCATTCATTTAGAAAAGATTTATGCAGCTTTTCCTACTGCAGCAAATGCAGTTTTTATTGTTGATATTTGGCGCCAGTTAATCAGGAAGTGACGATTTTTTTCGCTTTGACTCGTTGGATGGAAACGATGCTTCATTCGCACAATTTTTATGCGATAATCGACTTTTGCGCATAAAGTTTATTCGCATTTTTGGATGGAAACATAGCTAATGACAGCTGTAATTACATTTGAATGTGGGGAGGGCCAAAACAAGCAATTTTCCCAGACCTCCTTCACTGGACATAAGTAGCAACTTTTCCAAGAGTCAAGTTTTTAAAGTCAGGTTCAGTTAAGTCCACCATAATAATATTAACCAAGGCTGTGCAATTATTCGAAATTCAGTTTTTTTTTCTTCAGATTCTTCATGATTATGATAAATAACAATTGGGATAAAGCGATTTAATTGCATCTCATGCCTCTTTAAATTTCTCTACATTCATTCTCAAAGCCAGATTGCAGTAAAATCATGTAAATTGACTTTTGCAGCATGGGATGCATTTCATTAATTGTTATTCGTATTATTAAGTGTTTAATTCCTTTATTCATGTTTTTTTTATTTTTTTTTATTAGAATATGCAAAAATCATACAAATACAAGAAAACGTCAACAAATAACAAATACAAAGCAACGAAACAAAAACAAAACAAAAACAACAACAATATAGTCATGTACAGGTATGTGCGTGAGTGTGTGTGTGTGAGTGTGTGTATGCATGTAAAGGTAACTTGGTGGACAGGTCAGAGTACATACATAAGGAACAATAACAGTCAATAAATGAAGCAAGTGTCACAGATATAGATAAAACATATAGAAAGAAACCAGTCAGAGGTAGGGAGTAACAACAATGCTTATTAATGTACGATAGTAAAAATGAGAGTAAAAAGAAAGAAAGGACAACAGTAATAACTGACAACAATAATAATAAATCACAAGTGCTACACCTACTACTACTACAGAAAGTTACTTATATTACAACTACTACTGCTTCTACTACAGCCACAACCACGACTACTACTACTACAATGTCTACTAATACTGATACTACTATAGCGTTTGCTACAACTAATACAACAACGTCTACTGCTACTACTACTACTACTACTGCTACTACCACCACCACAATCACTTCTACTACATCTACATCAACAACATCTACTACTGATATTACTACACCAACAACGACTACTACTACTACTGTAACTATCACACCATTACTACTTCTGCTACTACTTACATGAACTACTACTTCAAAAATCTCCGTAACAATTACTCAATACCAATCGATACTATTACACTGTCTACTATTTCAACTACAACTACTACTACTACTACTACAACTACTACCACTACAACTACAACAACTGCAACCTTAATAATGATAATGGTGTAAATACTTGTAATAATGATAATGGAAAGATAACAGGACAAGTCAGAACAGTAATAATAATAATAATGATTTCAAAAAATAAAAGTAATACCATTTATGACAAAGTTTATTCTAAAACTTTATTCATGTTTTTAAAAGCATGAAAGAGAATTTGTGCTGTTCTATGCATGCGCTATGGATGTATGTCCCCACCAATGTCAAGAGCAAATCCACACCCTTGAAACAAAGGCAATAATGTAGTTGGTACATTTAAACAAAACAGTTTTATTAAACAGTCATATCTTTTAAAATAAGAGTTTGGTTACTGAACATTTTTAGGAATGTCTTTAGTTACTGCAATAAAATCATTTACTGTATATTAAGTTATTATTTAAAATAAAAATACTGTATTTTTATTCAATAAATGCCCCCTTGGAAAGCTTAAATTGTTTTAATCTTTTAAAGAAAACAATGTTCTCCTTTCATAAAATGTCACCACTGTGAAACTGAAATACTCACATCAATGAAAGACGCGTTGACATAATCTGTGAACTCCTGGCCTCTTTTCATGGACAGGATCACTCGATTGAAATCATCTGAACACACGGATGAGAAAACCCATTAAATGACCCGACTGACCTCTAGCATAAACTCTGGGTGTTTTGAGCTGCGTTTCTCTCGATTACAACCGAAGGCAGAACAGGAAAAGGAAGAGAGATTTCTGATTAACTTCCTTGTAAACAAAGCAGAGAAGCACAACAACATACAACTGACAGCTGCAAACGAGGTTTATTCAGATGACAAATCTCACTCTTAGACATGGTTTTTAGCTTTAAAAATATTAAAACTGTTTATAAATTACCATGTACAATATATAAGTTGGATATAAACTGTATTATGAAGAAAATATATAAATGAATAATCTTAATAAACATTCAATAAATTTATCCAGCAGAAATAATTGTATAATTATTTAGAAATATAATAATAACAACAACAACAATAATTATTAATATTAATTACATTTATATGGCTTTTTTGGCCACTCAAATAAATATATTATAAATAAATATAAACAATTATATTATATTATATTATAAATTTATTATATTATATTATATTATATTATATTAATGCAATTTCAAATATTTTTAATAAATTTACTTATTAGTTAAACTATGAATATTGATGTTAAATATATTTTAATGCATTTTTCCATTTTTATATTATATTATATTATATTATATTATATTATATTATATTATATTAATGCAATTTCTAATTTTCTTATTTATTTTCTTACAAATAAACTGTATATTGATGTTAATATATATTTTTGTGTAATTTTGTAATGTTTTAATAAAAATATTTTTTATGTTCTTTATATTATTTTATATTATATTATATTATATTATTGCAATTTTTAAATATTTTTTTACAAATTTACTTATCAGTTAAACTGTTAAATGATGTTAAATCTATTTTACTGCATTTTTCTATTTTTTATTTTCCATTTTCTTTTAAAATGTTATATTATATTATATTATATTGTATTATATTATATTATATTATATTGATGCAATTTAAATTTTTTTTCTTATAAATAAACTGTATATTGATGTTAATACATATATTTAAAAGCGTAATTTTGTAATGTTTTAATAAAAATATTTTTTTATTTTATTTTATATTATATTATATTATATTGGTCACAGTATATTTAATGCAGAAGATATAAGGATAAATGGCACAATTCATATGTGAGCTGATCTTTAACTCACATGGAATAATCTGAAGGACTCTGTTTTTCTTCATGTTGGCAGGCAGGTTCCCTGTCCTCATGTTTTCCTTCATAATACGCATGTTTGTCAGTTTCTGCAAAAAATATAAAATAATTAAAAATAAAAATCCATTTAAAAATCGGCCAAATACAGATCAGTTATCAATAAATGCTCTGGTAAACCCCGTTATGCTTAATAAGCAGATGATACTCATGCATTACATGTGTTAACATGTTAACCTAATTTTCTTTATTACAGTAACATGATAAATGACATACAGTGCTCTTCATAAATTAGGTAAAGACGTTGCCATGCAGCACAGATAAAACAAAGCACTGTATTTCCACATACAAATATACATTTATACACATATTAATCCATCATAGAGTCAGAGGTATGTTGCTTGACCCAATGTTTGGTTTCATCCCAGAAATTGCATTAATAGATTTATTTATGGTCTCGTGAGAACCCTGTGCATGTGTGAAATGTGACAGAAACATGTCCGTAATGCCAAGTCAGAAAAAGCACACATTTCACAGAAAGGAAGGAGGAAATATTGTACAAACTCTGACACTTTTTTGACCGAAAGACTATATATAAAATGTGTTTTCTTGATCTCATGCAGCAGAAGTACAAGTGCCACAGTTAAAAAGCTACATCTTTATATACAGCGTGTGAACAGTAAATGAGCTAAAAGTGTCCCAACAGCATGTTTCAATACTCTTCTTTAGCATTTAATGATTTATTAAATATGACAATCAACATAAATTAAATACTTTTATGCAAATTATTACATTTTGACATCACTAGTAAGAAATGCATTTATTAATTAATAAAGTCTTGTAAACGGGATTTACTTGCAATATTGATTTGTTTAGCTGTGAACCTACACTGCTCTCACGGTTCGGTTCGGTTACGATTATCATGCCATCGATTCGGTTCAATTCAATATCTTGGTGCATCACCGTGCATTGACGATGCTTTCCATACACAGTTTTATATTTTCTTCACAGCACCAATTCTTGTATTAAAATGTATGGCTATATTTATATACTATTTGTAATGCAATTTTGTTATTTAAAACAGTCAGATACAGTTGAAGTCAGAATTATTAGCCCCCCTTTGAATTTTTCTTTCTTTTTTAAATATTTCCTAAATGATGTTTAACAGAGCAAATAAATTTTCACAGTATGTCTGATAATGTTTTTTCTTCTGGAGAAAGTCTAATTTGTTTTATTTCGGCTAGAATGAAAGCAGGTTTTAAATTTTTAAAAAGCATTTTAGGGACAAAATTATTAGCCCCTTTAAGCAATTTTTTTTTTAGATGGTCTTAAGAACAAACCATCATTATACAATAACTTCCATAATTACCCTAACCTGTCTAGTTAACTTAATTAACCTAGTTAAGCCTTTAAATGTCACTTTAAGCTGTATAGAAGTGTCTTGAAATAGATATAGTCAAATAATATTTACTGTCTTCATGGCAAAGATAAAATAAATCAGTTATTAGAAATAAGTTATTAAAACTATTATGTTTAGAAATGTGTGGAAAAAATCTTCTCTCCGTTAAATAGAAATTGGGAAAAAAATTAAACAGGAGGGTGAATAATTCACGGGGGCTAATAATTCTGACTTCAACTGTATATAAACTGTACCTTTAAACAAAATGCGGATGATCCCCTCCTATACAGCTGCCATTGCACGGCTCAAAGATACTTTGTAGTGTGCAATTTAACATAATTGCCTCTAGGAGTCGCCAATGGAAATAAAACAAACACACACAAGAAATGCACGTACGCCAGACATGAAGTTGGCGTGGACCGATTCTCACATTCTCACGTTCATTTCACCGTTAGTAAATCTAAACATAAGCATGAAATTGGGCGTACACAAAGTTTTTGTGCATATTCTCTTTGTATATCCAAATAAACGTGAAACTGAGCGCAACATGCACGAGCCTAAAACCCCCATGAATATGCTAATGACTCTACTTTGGCAAAACCCAATGAAAAAGCAATGGCAAAAGCAAGCAAAAAGAGAAACTTTGAACAGAATGTGAATTGGAGGTGCTGCTTTCAGAGGTAGACCGGAGAAAAACGATGTTATTAGCAAGTTTGTCCTCCGGAATTAACAACAAAAGAAAAAATAGAGTGGGAGAGTTTAGCTGATGCGGTTAACACAGTTGGGTCTAAACAACGAAACGAGTGGATTAAAAAAGAAATAGTGCGATGTATAGGTGTAAAATGTTGTATTGTCTTTAACAGCGTGAGTGGCGTAGCTCGAAAAGCACATGGCAACATGTTTTGACATGTTCAAGCATGAACTCGGTTTGAATCCAGCGGCTGATGAACTCATTCTTCTTTTTTTTTTCCAGCTACATATCAGATTTTGCCTACTCTTCATCATGAGGAAGACAAATAGGAATCATTAATAAATGTGTGCATCATACTTTATTAGCACATTTATTGAATGGAAATGTTTCTGATTCACGTATGCAAATTAGATCACTTGATTACATTGGGAAAACCGGCGACCGCTGCAAGTTGCGCTTTAATGTTTGGCGGGTCAACTGCATGGTATGGAAACCTTTTATACCTGCTATGAACCCGCCTCATACAGCTGCCATTGTACGGCTCTAAGACACTTTGTAGTGTGCAATTTAACATAATTGCCTCTAGGATAATTGCCAATGGAAAATAAAACAAACACACACAAGAAATGCACGTACGCCAGACATGAAGTTGGCGTGGACCGCTTCTCACATTCTCACGTTCATTTCATCGTTAGTAAATCCAAACATAAGCATGAAATTGGGCGTACACAAAGATTTTGTGCATATTCTCTTTGTATATCCAAATAAACGTGAAACTGAGCGCAACATGCACGAGTCCAAAACCCCTCCCTGCCTCCTCCCCCATATGAATATGCTAATGACTCTACTTTGGCAAAACCCAATGAAAAAGCAATGGCAAAAGCAAGCAAAAAGAGAAACTTTGAACAGAATGTGATTTGGAGGTGCTGCTTTCAGAGGTAGACCGGAGAAAAACGATGTTATTAGCAAGTTTTTCCTCCGGAATTAACAAAAAAAAAAAAATAGAGTGGAGAGAGTTTAGCTGATGCAGTTAACACAGTTGGGTCTGAACATCGCACTGAACATGAGTGGATTAAATAAGAAATAGTGCGATGTATAGGTATAAAATGTTGTATTGTCATTAACAGCGTGAGTGGCGTAGCTCGAAAAGCACATGGCAACATGTTTTGACACGTTCGAGCATGAACTCGGTTTGAATCCAGCGTCTGATGAACTCATTCTTCTTTTTTTCCCAGCTACATATCAGATTTTGCCTACTCTTCATCATGAGGAAGACAAATAGGAATCATTAATAAGTGTGTGCATCATATTTTACTAGCACATTTATTGAATGAAAATGTTTCTAATTCACGTATGCAAATTATATCACTTGATTACATTGGGAAAACCGGCGACCGCTGCAAGTTGCTCTTTAATGTTTGGCTGGTCAGCTGCATGGTATGGAAACCTTATAAACCTGCTAGACATGTGGATGATCCTGCCTCATACAGCTGCAATTGCACGGCTCAAAGACACTTTGTAGTGTACAATTTAACACAACATCCTCTAGGAGTCGCCAATGGAAATAAAACAAACACACACAAGAAATGCAAGTCAGGCATGAAGTTAGTGTGGACCAGCGCACATTCCCACGTTCATTTCATTGTTAGTAAATGCAAACGTGAGTGTATGGCGTATGCAAAGTTTTTGTGCGTACGCAGCGTTGATACATGAGGCCCCTGGTGATTTGCAATGTACTTGAAACTGGTTTGTCCATTAATGCTGCCCCATCATGCACATTTCTGTTATCACACAATTTATTCAAATAAAATTGTATGACTTTTTTGATGTGCATCCTGGAATTTATACAGTGTTGCAATTGTAGTTTATACACATTTTTTCTTATAAAATAAAAAGTTTTTCCTACTCAGTTGTGCACGTAAATTTTTTCGTGCATTTTCAAAATCTATGTGCATCTTGGCAATTCCCTCAAACTTTCTTTTCTGCAATGTTAAAAATAGACACATAAAGCAGGTGTCTAGAAACATCAGTGTGTGTATGTAAAGGTGCTGTTTGAGGGATGGGTGTGAGTGAAGAAGCTGACCTTAAACTCCTCCTCGAGGCCGACGCGGTCCAGCGGAGCATTGGTGTTGTGCAGTTTCTGCAGGTGTCCTTCAAGAGAAGAGACGTCCAGCTCTGTGTCTCCATACAGAAAATACTCCAGCAGAGCCTGATAGACGAACGAGTACTGCAACTACACACACAAAGAAACACACAATTACACAAAAACACACAATCACAAGAACACATAGACACACACAAACAAACACAGACAAACACACACACAGCAACACGCAAACACATGTACACACACAAACACACACGTACACACACACATGCACACATAAACACACACATTTCATATACTGTATTCAGTATTCTTAAGTCTGCCTGTAATAAATAGAGTGAGTGTGTGCTGAAGAACAGAGAAGCGCCCTCACGTCTGTCTGGATGAGCTGAGATCTCTGTTCACGGATGCGGGACACAAACCCGAACACGTCCACCTTCTGCTCCGTGTGCATCATATCAATCATGGCATCAATGACGATGAAGGTTCCTGTCCGGCCCACGCCAGCACTGATGGAGAGACACAAACATTTTCACTCTCTGTGAATTCTCTTACATGCATTTTCAACCCAATCCTCTTTTAATGTAAAGAAATTCAAATGTAGATTTACTAGAATTGTAATTTCTAAAATATAAAGTAATAACATACTGCATTATATACTGAACATACAAATGTAAAACAATATATTTAATTCATCATATTTATTATGTTTAATACTTTGACCAATTTACTAGTTTATTACAGTAAAACTGTCACTAATTTTGACTGAATTTTCCCATTCAGAGACAAAATAAATTAATGATATTCAAAAATGTTTTATGCATCATAATAGTAATATGTTCATGTATAATGTATTTTAATAATTATATTCTTTACGTTAAGTCATCATAATTAGGAATTCAACTAATATTTTACATTCAGAAATACATATATATGTGCCGCGGAGGCGCAGTGGGTATCGCTGTCACCTCACAGTAAGAAGGTCGTTGGTTTGAGTCCCGGCTGGGCCAGTTGGCATTTCTGTGTGGAGTTTGTATGTTCTCCCCATGTTAGGTGTTTTTTTTTTACATACATTTTTATTCTCTTTGCTATCTGGGCTTATTGGAACCTAATTAGAATAGTAAAGTATTAACTTTTCATACGATGTACTTTTAGAGAAAAATGATGTTCATATATGTGGACTCGTGGTCCGAATTTACATAAAACCCTTTTCCCTGGCTGTTTTTTTAATGCATATATAACATATCCATGTTTTGAACTTGCTTTGACTATCAGAGAGTAAAAACTTTTTTTTCCCATTTTGGACAGTTAAAAATAGTGTTTGGGACATTTCATATGCTGCAAAACTGTTGCAGGATGACACTGTATGTCTAAAATATAAAACATTTAAGGTATTTTAAATAGCCATTTAAGAGCTAAAATGTCCTGTCCACGTATGTGGCCATTAAACCCTATGAGAATACACACACACACACACACACACACACACACACACACACACACATATATATATATATATATATATATATATATATATATATATATATATATATATATATATAGTTAAAGTCAATTATTAGCTCCCCCTTTGATTTTTATTTCCTTTAAATATTTCCCAAATGATGTTTAACAGAGCAAGGAATTTTCACAGTATGTCTGATAATATTTTTTTTTTTTTGAGAGAAAGTGTTATTTGTTTTATTTTGGCAAAAAAAAAAACTGTTTAATTTTTTAAAAGCCATTTTAAAGTCAAAATTATTAGCCCTTATGAACAATATATTTTTAGTAGTCTATAATAGTCTACAGAACAAATCATCATTATACAATAACTTGCCTAATTACCCTAACCTGCCTAGTTGACATAATTAACCTTGTTAAGTCTTTAAATATCACTTTAAGCTGTATAGAAGTGTCTTGAAAAGTTTCTAGTCAAATATTATTTACTGTTATCATGGCAAAGATAAAATAAATCAGTTGTTAGAGATGAGTTAATAAAACTATTATGATCAGAAATGTGTTGAAAAAATCTTCTCTTTGTTAAACAGAAATTGGGAGAAAAAAATAAACAGGGGCCCTAATAATTCAGGGGGGCTAATAATTCAGATTTCTGACTAAGCTGAAAAAAAAGAGTTATATATATATATATACACACACACACACATACATACCTCACAAAATAATCTTTTAAATTCATATTTTTATTAGGAAGCTATACAATATTTTATCTGTGTATATACATTAGATTAATCAGTACTGATGCCAAATTTTGAGCTTATCCATAAAATAACTTGTGATAACGGTCCAAAAACTAGTACTGTACATCCAAATGTATATGTTATAAAAATATGTATTAAATAAAAATTTAAGAAAAATCAAGAAAAATCAAGAAAAGCAAAAAAAAAAAAAAAAGTTGAAATTTTGTAGGTTTTAATTTTTTTGCAATTTTTTTGCTCGAATGTAGTTGTATTATCTTTCAATTTCTCAAGATGTTTGGTGACTAAATTATTATTTTGAATAAATATATCTGTTTAATGAACCTGTTTTGTTTTTAATGCACCAAAATACATTGCCTATAGTCACTAAGAAATTGATCTATATATATATATATATATATATATATATATATATATATATATATATATATATATATATATATATATATATATATATATATATATATATAGATCATAAAATTATTAGTCATTAATTCTTGAGTCCCAAAAATAATTCAACATGCATGCAATAAAATGCAATAAAGTATTTTTTTTGCTGATGAAAATCAACTACAACTGTGACCCAGCAATAAATCTACAATCACACTCAGACAAGCCTTTGCGTTTCTCTATTTGGCACACAAACACTTTCTTGATTCTCCACCAGAGGGCAGCAGTGGTCAAGCGAGCCAATAAACAAACTCTCTTTTGACAGGATTGTGTGTTGTGTTGTGTTGTTTTTAGGACAGAGAAACACAATAGACACACACACACTGATGAGGAAAACACAGACTGGCTATTGTGTCTCCAAACCCAGACCTGACCTACATCTCTGCACTTCGTGTGTTTGAGCAATCAGCTAATTCAAATCACATGCTAATCGCTCTGCATAATGTATATCATTGTGTGATGCATAAATCATGCATGCGTGAGCGACGCGCTCAGACTGACGCATGAGGGTCCGCGGGGTCACAAAAATCATTACTGTGGGTGGAACTTATGCTAAACGTGTCCTTTCACCAGCAGATTTACATTCAAATGCGCACTTCACTGCCACTTTGCTAAACCGAGACAAAGTTTGAGGAAGTTTGATGATGATACTTCAATGTCAAGTCAAGCTTTTTAATAAGAGACTGTATAACTGGTTGTGTATTGTATTCCTTGTTTGAAATGAAATACTCATATGAAGTGTGATATGTTGTGCAGCTTTTTTTTTTTTTTTGGTCAGGCAAATGCTGTGAAGACGAAACCACAGTGACAAATGAAAACTTTTTGGCAGCTAATGTACAGTAATTATTTTAGATTTATTTTTATATGTTCGTATTTTAACTAAAAGTAACACAAATAAAGTTTAACTAAAATAAAAGTACATTAAAAAAGAACAAAATTACACATCACACACACACATAAACACTTTTTTATAACTCATCTATAAAATTTTCTTGTATATTTTATAGTATAAATTATAGTTTCATGTATATTTTATAGTACAGAAAGGCAAATTTACAATTATAATTGGATAAATGGGTCACACTTTATTTTGATGAATTTAAGTTACATTGCATCTACATGCCAAATAATTCTTATTAGATTATAAGTGGACAGTTAGGTTAGGGTTAGGTTTACTGTAAGTTGACATGTACTCACAAAGTTCCTTATAGTCAGTTAAATATCTGTTGAAGGAGCATTATAAACAGATATTCAGCAGATTGTCTATTAATAATCAAATGGACCATCAAAATAAATTGTTACCGATAAAATATTTGATTTCACATCACTGCTTATATATACTTCTATAAACATTCATCCACTTTATTACACCTGTCCAACTGCTCGTTAACGCAAATGTCTAATCAGCCAACCACATTGCAGAAACTCTAGACATGGTCAAGACGATCTGCTGCAGTTTAAACTGAGCATCAGAATGGGGAAGAAAGGGGATTTAAGTGACTTTAAACGTGGCATGGATATTGGTGCCAGACGGGCTGGTCTGAGTATTTCAGAAACTGCTGATCTACTGAGATTTTCACGCACAACCATCTCTAGGGTTTACAAAGAAAATATCCAGTGAGCGGCAGTTCTGTGGGTGCAAATGCCTTGATGCCAGAGGTCAGAGGAAAATGGCTGGACTGGTTCCAGCTGATAGAAAGGCAACAGCGACTCAAATAAGCTCTTGTTACAACTGAGGTCTGCAGAAGAGTATCTCTGAAAGTACAACATGTCCAACCTTCAGGCAGATGGGCTACAGCAGCAGGGAACAACACCGGGTGCCACTCCTGTCAGCTAAGAGCAGAATACTGAGGCTACAGTTCATACAGGCTCACCGAACTGGACAGTAGAAGATTGGAGAAACATTGCCTGGTCTGATGAGTCTTGATTTCTGCTGCAACATTTGGATGGTCGGGTCAGAATTTGGCGTGACCACCATGAAAGCATGGATCCATCCTGCCTTGCATCAAGAGTTCAGGCTGGTGGTGGTGGTGTAATGGTGTGGAGGATGTTTTCTTGGCACACTTTGGGCCCCTTAGTACCAATTGAGCATCACGCCATCGCCACAGCCTACCTCAGTATTGTTGCCGACCATGTCCATCCCTTTATGACCACAGTTCCAGCAGGATAACGCAACATGCCATAAAGCGTGAATCATCTCAGACTGGTTTCTTGAACATGACAATGAGTTCACTGTTCTCAAATGGCCTCCACAGTCACCAGAGCTCAATCCAATAGAGCACCTTTCAGATGTGGTGAAATGGGAGATTCGCATCATGGATGTGCAGACAACAAATCTGCAGCAACTGCGTGATGCTATCATGTCAATATGGACAAAAATCTCTGAAGAATATTTCCAGTACCTTGTTGAATCTCTGCCATGAAGGATAAAGGCAGTTCTGAAGGTGTACCTATTAAAGTGGCCGGTGAGTGTATATACTTCTTTCTTTTATTAATCAATTTCTTTGTCTGAATTTCTATCAACTGTGTTACATAGCTAACATAAATATTTAACTTTTTTTATAAACATTTTAATAAAATGTTTACTTAAATACAAAATAAATATAAAACAATATAAATACATTCATAAAAATAATATTAATAAAAAAATACAGTTTGCATTTAGACAATTAATATGAAATACACAATTAATCATATATAAATAACTCATTTGCTGCTAAAATTCCTAAAATGATATCATATCCATAATTCCTGTGTGCAAACATCGGTTAATTTATTTTATATGTAAGCCAGCCGGCTCTACGCCACCCAACCCGCTCCGAGCTGGGATCGAACCGGCGACCTTCCGCATGGGAGTCGGTTGCTCCAAAAAGTAGGCTAAAGACAATGGCCTCTAGCATCTGTCCCTAGAGCATCTTTAGAGGTCAGAGGAGTGAAGTTTACCTGCACAGCACTTACTAGCTGGCCTCCGTTACATTCACCCCCTAAACCTCACTCCCATCCGGGTCACGGCACCAATATAACCCTGCCGGCTCTACGCCGCCCAACCCGCTCCGAGCTGGGATCAAACCGACGACCTTCCGCATGGGCGTCGGTTGCTCTAACAAAGAGGCTAAAGACCATGGCCTCTAGCGTCTGTCGCCAGAGCACCTTTAGAGGTCAGAGGAGTGAGGTTTACCTGCACAGCACACACTAGCTGGCCTCCGTTACATATAGAAAGAAACATTTTAAATGTAAATAACTGCATATTTGATTTCACATCCCTTCTATTTAAAAATAGATGTACCTAATTTCTTCATTCATTATTGAATTTCTTCGTTTGATTATTTGTTACATTATTAGTCATTAATTCTCCAATCCTAAAAACTAAATAATTCAACCTGCATACACATTTCTGACTGTAAAGCAATTAAAACTAAATGAATTGGTAATATCGTTTAAAACACTAAAATTGATTGTGTGTATAACACATTTCTCCGAGATAAAACCATGCACACGTTACACACACGTTCACTATGTGTGCATATTAACATGCAATATCTTGCATGTAAATGTGTGCATCTAAATAGCTTCACACTTCACACTAACGCTCAGACTTGACAGCAGAAGCGTGTGTTCACACACAGCTCTATATTTATCCTGCATTAAGAGCACATGAAGCCAAACCTGCAGTGCACGACGATGGGTCCGGCGTACGACGGGTTCACCTGCTTCACCTTCTTCAGGAACTTTAGCATCCCGATGGGGGAAAATGGCACGCCGAAATCTGGCCAGCTGGTGAAGTGGAGCTGAGTGACCAGGCGAGGGCTTTTACTGCCGTCACTGGCCTGCTGAAACAAGAATACACACAAATATAATGTTTTATGCTAGTTTAATGAGCTTAATCTTCACGTTCGAGCAGCCATTAGAGGCTGAATGATTTTTAGAAGTTGACTTTCATGTTATAAAATAAAGTCGGCTAGTCGCTGGTGATGTCATCAGTAAAACAAAAGACGCTAATAGTTTGCAACATGCCACAATTAGTAACTTATTTGCAGGAAAAAATGTGTTCTTATGCTGTTTGAAAGCTCATAACATGTAAAAACAATGCAACTTTACCAATGACAAATTATAGAGTAAAATAAATGCACTGTCAAAATTTTATTTCATTAATAACGCAACATTAGCACGGGCAGGTTCGGATTTAGAATACACTGAGTCCTGGGGCTATATCAAGTCCAAGGGACATATTTATTTTATCGCCTCATAAAAGTATACATATCGGCGATGCAGTGGCGTAGTAGGTAGTGCTGTTGCCTCACAACAAGAAGGTCACTGGGTCGCTGGTTCGATCCTCGGCTCAGATGGCGTTTCTGTGTGGAGTTTGCATGTTCTCCCTGTGTTCACGTAGGTTACAGGTGCAGGTGAATTGGGAAGGCTAAATTGTCCGTAGTGTATGAGTGTGTGTGTGTGAATGTGTGTGTGGATGTTTCCCAGAGATGGGTTGCAGCTGGAAGGGCATCCGCTATGTAAAAATAAGCTGGATAAGTTGGCGGTTCATTCTGTCGTGGCGACCCCGTATTAATAAAGGGACTAAGCCGACAAGACAATGAATGACTGAATGAAAAGGATACATAAAAATGGTAAATTAAACATTCATAAAGCGTTTCAGTTCAGTTAGATTTAAACCACAACCAAGTGTGTTTACTTAAGATAGATAGATACTCAGCAAAGATGAATAACTGTTTGTGTAGGCTATTTGCTTTGTTCACACACTGTCTTGGTTATATTATGTATTGGAAAGATTGTACAGGCCCTTTATAAGTCCATTCAGGATGATTGCGCCTATCCCAGCTTCTGTTACTACATGCACAAGTTTATCAATGACGAATACTGTTTGAATTGTATTTTTTGTTCTATGACGAGCTTAAATAATGATCGAGTCTAGGGATGCACTGATCCCAATACTTGGATTGGATATCGGTTCGATACCATATGTTTTTGCTGGATCGGGTATCGGCCAGTTGGTACCGATCCAAATCCAATCTTGCGTGTGCACTATATTCTGTGTAATTTATAAGTCAACAAAAGCCACGAAGGTAGCCTATTACAAGGCACTGGAAAGTTGTCAAGTAGGCCTACTAAATCCTAAATGTTCTAAAGCCATTCTACAGTTTATTGTGAAGTAAAGATGAATATTCAAGAGGTTATATTCATGTTCAGTTCAGCGCTTCCCGCCGCTGCGCCTGTCAATCATACTCGATTCTTTCACTATTCAAACCGCGTGTCGCGTTCATGACAACACGAAAAACTTTCCAAGACTATTTGTTCCTGTTAGTTTTAATAATCAGTGGAGAAATGCATTCAGTTCTGCATTAAATGGGTTAATTTTGACCCGTACCAGAGTTTATTGCTGTTTCTACATCATGTGCGCTGTGTCTGTTAGACCAGCAGATCACATTCACAACACTGGAGTAGAGAGGGTTATTACCTGCTCTTCACACACAAAGTAGGCCTATCTGAAAGTTTAAATTAGAAAAGGCTCAATAATACATTGGAAAGATCCTCAACGCACTGATTTTTCCCCTTTGAGTTGCTGTTTGAAAGTGTCCGCAGATACCGGAGGGCTGTGCGCTGTCTCAGTGATGCATCAAGTGCTTCATCAAGCGCACCGGCTGCGCAGATGCGTCATGTGCCGCTCCGTAAAATTATTCTCAAAAAGAGTTTCTGTTCTCTCACCCTTCCGACTGAGTTTATTCTTTCAAGGTGAATATGTTATGTGCTGCTAATAGTTTATAAAGCCTGGCTTATTGTGGTCAAAGTAGATTAAATTAAAGTTGATTAAATTAACACAAGTGAATCTGTCGGGCGTAATATAGATTGTCATTAACAGAAAATTATTCAGCCTAATATAGGCTACTCTGAAACTGTGAATATTTCAATGTCATTTTATTTATTTTAATATTTTATTTAACAGACCTGTTTGTCAGTTTGTGCACTAAAGCATATAAGCCGACCTTGTTTTGAACTTCACCTCAAATATTCTTGTTTCTTTTGTGGATAACTAACCAACAAAAATACATTAAAATAAAATAACAAATTATGGCAAACGAAATTCGATTCAAAAAAATTTGTCAGACAAAAAAATAATTGTTCAGACATGCTTTCAGTTTCTCCGTTTCACTCGCGCCGACTTTAGGCGAGGGAGTGTTTATTAAGTAAAACTGGCCTCAGACGGTTTAGTTCAGTCTGCTTTAAACCTGCCAGATAATATCGAGCTTTGCTAAAAGGCTGGTTATTTTACCAACAGTTAGGGTAAATAGTGGTTGCCTAGTACAGATTTCAAAGAAAAATCCTAATATTAAAAAGGAAACTTAAGCTGGACCACAACAGATCATATCCATGTCATAATGAATTAGGCCCGGATTGGCTAATCGGGAGGACCGGGAGAATTCCCGGTGGGCCGGTCTGGTGTCCCTAGCTCAGGGGTCGGCAACCCAAAATGTTGAAAGAGCCATATTGGACCAAAAAAACAAAAAACAAATATGTCTGGAGCCGCAAAAAATGTAAAGCCTTATATGAGCCTTATAATGAAGGAAACACATGCTGTATGTATCTATAGTAGCTATATTAGCCTACTATCAAAATGACTAAGTTGGCTACAAATTCATAATGAGCCTTCATGATTAAATAGCCACTGAAATCAGGTGGTTGGTGTTTATTTTGTTGTCATTTACACACTTCAGCACAGCCTCTGGTCTTTCAGTGATATTAATTTGATAATTTCTTCTTGCGGGCCATCAGAGTTCACATACCTGCATAAAAGCGCATTGAATATCGGTCACATCACAGGCAATTGAGTATGCTGGCACTGAATTAATGTCCTTGGTTTGCTGATCAGTGATGTTACCTGCCTTTTTAATAGCCCTTTCCTTCACTGTCTTAGCGGAGAGAGGTATATCTTTAATTTTTTGTATTATCTTGGTTTTGTTTTTGAAGTCTGCAAATAGGTGTTCTAATATGTTGATGAATGACTTTTTCATGTAGTCGCCATCTGTGAACGGTTTTCCATGCTTTATTATCTCCCGGTTTGTTTACAACAGCCACCTGCCTGGCATCCCGCCCTGCTGATAGAAACCTGTGGCGCAGGCTATGAGGCAAATCTTCGTTGACAGAAATGTTGAAATTAAATATTAATCCTACACACTTTTACAGCATTTGAAAACGTTAAAAATGTTTGTCCTCCTATAGAAATCCTATTAAAACAAAAATATATACTTACCTTCTCCATCTTTTTGAACATTTTTGAAAAAACTTCAGGGAGCCACAAGGGCAGCTCTAAAGAGCCACATGCGGCTCTAGAGCCGCGGGTTGCTGACCCCTGCCCTAACTGCTTGCACTCTCAGCAGTCACATTTTTTTCTTCTATTTATTTATTTGACCATAGCTTCACTCTTTTTATTCATTATTTTGCCGCAGTGCCGCTCTTTTTATTTATTTTCTCGCAGCCCCATGAGAAAAATGCAGCCTGCAGGTTAACTAACGTTAATGATGATGATGTAATGTAACTATCGACCCCAAACAGTGGCAACTTAGTGAATATAAGAATTCAAATAAAATGAATAATACACCTGCTCAATGAAAATCAAATGATTCACTACATTAATAAATCTGACATAACTTGATCAGAAATCTAAAAATGGGAGAAAAAGATTGAGCTTTAAAAGAAAGTAGTGTTGTGTTTTAAGGGTCGCAAGTCATTAGTTATTTTTTACTCTCATTGTTATAACGCCATTGTGGTCCAGTGGTATGGACGTAGCCTCTTAATGCCGCGTTCCCGAGTTCGAATCTCGCCTGAAAAGTTTTTTTTTTTTTTTTCATTTTTATTGTTAAGGCATATAATACTGCTAGGGCTGTTGAACATTTGAATTTCTAAAGCAGCTGTTTTCTTGAAAAAGACGTGATAGTGCTATTAGAAACTGAATTGGAATCAGTCGTGAACTGAGGTGGGCCGGTCTGGCTTGAAACTCCAGGGCTGAAAATGAGTCCCACTCCGGCCCTGTAATGAATGTTTAAATAATGTAGCCTTTAGTTTATATACTTCACCCCCCCAAGTTTTACATTTTCTGCGACACTCCTGACAAGCATCATGTTTTTAGTTTAGATTGTGTCGTCTGCCATATAATGTAGGCCATAGGTCTGTTATTTTTACTAAAGAAAATATATTATTTGAGCAATACATCACTTCATCGACATGCAAAAGCATAATGCAAAGAGGTGTTTCATGATGGAAATGAATTCTTCAGCACAATCAGCTAAAAATTTACCAATAACTGCAAAAGTAATGCATACGTTGTCAGCAGTTGGAACACAAAGTCATGGCATAGCAACATAATGCAACAAAGACAACTGTAACAAAATGAGATCAAATAAGATGATGTGTGGGTATGAGTGTATTAAGACTTACATATTGCACACAGAATTTGCGTATGGTATAATCCACCAGTACTGTAAAGTCTTCCACAGCGACGCGCACATTACCGTACGTCCAGCAGCCCTGATCCGGCCAATACTGATAACACTTATCCTGCAAACACACAAACAAATACATTATAAAGGTCAATACCTACATAAATAAATAAGATATTGTATTGAATAGAAAAAAAATTAGTAGCTAATATATTTTATTATTTAAAAATGTTTTTTTAAACATTTCAACTGATACATTTTAACTTTGTATCAAATATAAACAATATAAATTTGTTTGCTGCTAATGTAGTTTTAATTCATTTTTCTTTTGTCAAACATAAAAAATATATACAGTATATATATTTTTGCTGCAACAATTGATTTTGTTAGCTAAAATAATTATCATATATTAGCTATATTGTTTGTTGCTATTTTTAATATACTTTTTTAAACATTTTACAATAAATACAAATGTTTGTTTATTTCTTACATTTGGAACTTTTTACCATGCTTAACTAAATAAATAAAAAGTGAAAAACTACATAAAATGCAAATATTGCATGAAAAACTAGTGATGAAAAAAAAAAACTAAAATCAATGGAAGTTAAACTAAACTAAAATCATGAACTGGAAATAAATCAATTAAAATTTAACACTGAGAAATGACTACTAACTAATAAAAAAACAGATTCAAATAAAATAATTAAAATAAAAAAAACACAAAATTAAACTACAAAAAATTGGAAATAAATAAGCTCAATAAAAATAAAATAAAATAAATCAAAAGCAAAATTAAAACTTAAAACAATTTAATAACATAAAATAAAATGCACAAAAATGAAAATAAACAAACTAAAAATAAATAAATAAAAGGACACTAAACTAAAATAATAACTGGAAATAACTAAATATAAAATAATGATTAATGACTACTGACTATTGATTAAAACTGAATAAAATTAAATTAAATTAAAACAAAATAAATCATAAGCAAAATTAAAACTTAAAACAATTTAATAAATTAAAATAAAATGCACAGAAATAAATTGCAATAAATTGACAAGCTGGAAATAAATAAAAAACTGAACAAAATAAAATAAAATCTAATAACAAGACACAATTAAACTACAAAAAAATAAATAAATTAAACAAACTAAACAATAAATAAAAGCACACTAAACTAAAATACTAAACTGAAAATGAATAAAACATAAAATAGTGTTCAATGACAACTGACTATTAATAAAAACTGAATAAAACTGAACCAAAAAAAATTTAAATTAAATAATAAAATTAAATTAAATAATAAAATTAAATAAAAAGCACAGAATTAAATTATATGAAAGCTATGAGATGGAAAGAAAGAAATATTTTACAAAATAAAATCAAAGACAATTAAGTTACAAAAAAATAAAAAATTATAAAAAATATAAATAAAATAATAATCAAAATCACTCAAGTAAATGACAAAACAAATTATTAAAAGTAAAACATAACACACTAATTATCAATAACAACAATAAAAAGCAGTATTTAATCAACTCTGTAACAACACTGATTTGACAGCCCATTACCAGTTAAAACACAAAATGACAAATAAAAAGTTTGGCAAAAGCATGACATTTTGCACTACTCATAATAAACCAGAAAACACGACACAAGGTCAAACTATGCAGTTGTGCAGATAAACAAAACCACATTACATGCCAATCCAGCGCAGTAAATCTGTGCAGCTGAAAGTGCATTAGAGATGTAAAGGTGACTTATCTAATCTGTCAGTCAGCATTAGCCAATCTCTACTAATGAGAGTTCACACACTAATTAGGTTAAAGCCAGAGAGAGCTTTATCAGCCATTATTAAAATCATTGATTCCAGGCCGATCTTAATCTCCTGTGCGCTTGCTGGTGTATTGATCTGCAGAACATCAGAGAGCGGACAAAATCCACACACACACTTCTACACATCAGCAACACGTTGCATTTATTTAACAGATGATTAATTCACAGCCAGGCAGGTTTTACTGTACCAAATTAATAAAATAATATTAATATTAATAATTATTTATATAATTAATCTCAGTAAAAATTAAATGAAATATTAGGTGAAAAACTACTGATGAAAAAAGTAACTAAAGATAAAATCATACAGGGAGACACAGTGGCTCAGTGGTTAGCACTGTCGCCTCTCAGTAAGAAGGTCTCTGGTTTGAGTCCCATCTGGGTCGGTTGGCATTTCTGTGTGGAGTTTGCATGTTCTCCCCGTGTTGGTGTGGGTTTCCTCTGGGTGCACCGGTTTCACCCACAGTCCAAAGACATGCGCTATAGGAGAATTAAATAAGCTAAGTTAAATAAGCTAAATTGGCCGTAGTGTATGAGTGTGAGAGTATATGGATGTTTTCCAGTCCTTGGCAGTTCATTCTGCTGTGGTGACCCCTGATGAACAAAGGGATCGAGCTGAAGGAAAATGAATGAATAAATAAATTCATACAAATGAACTGTAAAATAAAGAAAAAAGAAAAAAAGTTGACAACTAGTAACAAAAACCAAAATAAATAAAGTTGAAGTTAATACTAAAATTATGAACTGTAAAACAAAATAAAATACTGTTTAAAATTCTAATTAAATTTAATGTGGATATTAGATGAAAATCAAGTGGTTAAAAAAACCAACTGACTAAAATATGTTGCAGTTAAAACACAAAAATTCTGAACTGTAAAATAAAATAAAATAAAATAAAATAAAATAAAATAAAATAAAATAAAATAAAATAAAATAAAATAAAATAAAATAAAATAAAATTAAATTTCAAACAAAAGTCCAAATAAAACAAAACAAGTATTAGATGGGTCAGTGTACGAGTAAGAAAAAAAACGAGGAAACGGCCATTTTTCGTTTTTTTAAATAAATAACAGATTTTGGCTGGATTTTAAGTGTAAGAAAACTGATAAATGACTTTAAAATTTATTATTCACATGTAGGCGGTTCTGAAACGCCCATTTCCTCTGTTTGGTCAACCAAATCTGAGCACCTGACGTCGCCGTCAAAATAAAAGTCTTGTAGTCCTCTGCGGATTAGCACCAAGGCATTTAATTATTATTATTTGATTTTATATATATATATATATATATATATATATATATATATATATATATATAAGCAGTATTATTGTACATTTATCATTACAATTTATCATTACTGTTATAGTTCGGCGCCAAATTTGCTGCTATGAGCAAAAAGATTTGCGAGCAGCACTTGGTTTGCACGATTGTTTCCAAACTAGGCCTATATAATAATAATAATAATAATATTATTATTATTATTATTATAGTGTTTTTTATTGTTCAGTTTTTATTTTTATAGTTGTTAGCAGGGCCATAATAAGAGTACATTGAAACACACACATTTTTGCTCACACAACAAGCCTTCCTTTCGAGACTATCACTGGATTAATGTCGAGAACACAGTAAAAAAATCCTTAAATTAACAGTTTTCCATATTTTGTGATTCATGTTTTTATTTTTTATTATTTATGTATTTATTTATATTGTCTGGGCTGATGTTGTATATTATGCAACAAAACTTTGTAATAAACTGTCAGTATATTTTCAGTTATGTTACAGATTCATTTATCTATAGCCTATATTATTTCTTAAACATTAAACATTATTTCAAAAGTCCACAGAGCAGAGATTAAGGTCCCATAATGCAATCCACAACCATAAATAAATGGCAAACACATACGGAAACTGTTAACAGATATTTTTACGGTGTAGCCTTGCCAGGAAGTAATAAGTGTGCAATACACAGGCTTGGCCCTATAGCCGGTGTTACATGGCCTTTTATATAAATAAAATCAATTTAGTTCAGCTGGACATCTTACTACATTAATGAGGGAGGTGCAGGCGCCGCGCTTCTCTTCCAAGCAGCAGCTGCAGGAGTGACGAGAATGATGCAAGTGTCGGATCCAACAGCCAAAGAGAACAATGATCTTTCATTTTTCCTTTTGAATTAACTGTTTAATATATAAACTATTTACGTATTCTATCATTTGAACCACATACTAGAACATAGGCCTATGATACATTCATTGCGTATGCATAAATTACATAAAAACATAAATTAGCAGTATAATTATTTGCCATTAAATTAACGTCACTGCCAAACTTCTTGCTGCTATGAACTCGCTCTTTTATATTCAACAGCCTTATACGATCATCTCAAAAAAAGAAAGCAGAAATGCAGAAAGGGATGCTAACCTCTTTTCTCTCTTTTAGATTGGTTAGCATTACAATGGTGGATGATTTCTGCTCCCATATCATCCTCCAGAAGTCGGCCGTCGTGTCCTGTTTGGGCCCTGAAACAAACAGCTCATTTATCCAACACAATAACCTCTGATTAGAAGAACTGAAACTACTCGGCAAATCTTATTTTTACATGCAGGCGCTCTTACCTTGTGCTGCGATGAACTTATTTTTATCTTTATAACCCTGGAGGACAGAAAGCACGCAGGGCTATGAAACCAGCATTTAAAAATATACATCATATATAATATGATAATCAGTTATACCTTCACTCAGTTATGAAATGCACCGTCATTCATAATTATGTTTGTATTATTTAAATAATATGGTGGCTGTCCAAATATTTTACATTTACTTGCTCAAGATGCTTATTGATTTGAATAAGAAAATCATGCTTGAATAATAATGTTTGTCCCAATTTAAAACAAACAGGTTACTTCTGTACACTTTCTTATCATTGAAGTATTTTTAATTAATGTCAAATCATTTTTATGGAGTCTGTATCAAATTAAATTAAAAATTAAAAGTAATTTCATTGAAGAAAAAAAATCACATTAAAAATTCACATAAAAAAATCACATTAAAAGTTTATATAATAAAATAAATATCACATTAAAAATGTAAAAAATCACATTAAAAAAGTGTAATTTCAAATATATTTTATAAAATAAAATGCTAAAAAGAGATATCAATGATCACATATATATTTATATTATGTGACATTTTATTGATAATTTGAGCTGTACTTAAATAATAAAAAAAATACATAAATAACTAAACAAATTAATAATAAACATAATAAAAAACATTTTTATATTATAAAATATGAAATTATATATATATCTAACTAACAAATGTGCACAAACCCAGTGGTAGAAGTATAAATAATAAAACTGACAAGGAGTATTTAATAAGTATTTGCACTGTGATAATTAAAATACAATGTGTTTATATTATGAATGAATAAATGATTCTTGTACTAAATAGGATGGATATGACTACATCTTATGGTAAATAAACCTTTTTAATTTTTGACCTATTAACTGATGCATTTTTAATTAATGTCAAATAATAAATAAAATGTCAAAAGTCATAAAATTTTTTATAGAAATCACATTAAACACAATCAGGTATACAATATCAAAAATATTTTTTAAATAAAAATGAAATGCCAAAATGTTAATAAAATTATATGTATATCTATATATATTAAATAAATAAAAATAAATATATGTATGTATATATATATATATATATATATATATATATATATATATATATATATATATATATATAGCTGTACTCAAATAATAAAATTAAATAAACATAATATATAATTAAATTAATTATTATATTATAAAAATGTCTTGCTTACTAAAAGCCCAATTGTAGAAGTATAAAGAATAAAAATGACAATCAATGAGTATTTAATAAATATTTGCACTGTGTCAATTAAAACAACTTGTGTTAATATGTCATTAAATGATTCTTGTACTAAATACACTTGATATGATTACGCCTTATCATAAATAAATCTTTTTAATCTTTGACCTATTGATTGATGTATTTTTAATTAATGTCAAATAATTTTAATGGTATCTACATCAAATTAAATTGACAAGGGTTATTTTGTTTCCAAAAGTATCACATTAAACACAAGCAGGTATAGAATTTCAAATATATTTTATAAAAAAAAAGACAAAATGTGAATTAATTGATCCCATATATGTAATATTTTGTGATGTTTATAGCTGTACATGAATATAATAAATGATTAAAAAACATTCTTTATATTAGAAAAAATGTCTAACAAGCAAATAAAAAGAAAACAAAAAACAAAACAATCTTTTTTTATTATAAAAATGCTGAATAAAATAACAATAACAAACGTGCAAAAACCCAGAGGTAAAGGTTTAAAGAATAAAACTGACAATCAGAAAGTATTTAATAAATATTTGCAGTGGTATGATTAAAATAAAGTTGAATTACTATGTAATTAAATTATTTGTGCACTAAATATGCTTGATATAATTACATCTTTTGGTGTATAAATCTGTTTCATCTTTGATTTATTAATTTACTTATGCTTATTTATTGCAAAAAAAAACTGCTCTGGTGACAATGAATTAACTAGCTTATTAAAATTAGCTTGACTGCAGTGCATTGGTGTACTTTTACACCCTGAGAGTTCACTTACGTCAATATATGATGCATTGATATAATCTGAACAAGTGACCCCATCCATCGGCGTTAAAATCACTCTGGACTGGTCATCTGAATAAGACAAAAAGGTTTAGTTAGTTTCTAACCATGAACATGTCCTTATTTGAAGAACAGAGGCTTTGTTAAATAATAGAGAAATGACATGGATGTGGGCAGAAAACTTGTAAGGGATTGAAAGCAACCCTGAAGTGAAACTTTCAATGGGCTATATGGACACCTAGTGCTTTTCACCCAATAATAGACTTCTGCTGAAAGGTTTATTTGACTGTTTACCATTTTACAATGTTCCTTTTACAGCATCGATGTTGTAATATAATTGAAATACGAACCGTTAAACAGAATTAAGCATTCATTTGGTTGTTCAAATGTAAAACGAAATGAAAAACTGTGTAAACACAAGCTGTGTTAGTAGCAGCAGGCTAGCACAGAAACTCCATTGTAAAATAAATAAACTTCTACATGTTAAAGACATGGTGTGGAAAAATGCAATTGAATGCAGTGCTTCTTGTTTGGTCTGAGGCCCACTTTATTTTGTATATCAATCAGGCAGTGAAGATCACTGATTTTTTTAAAGACATCAGATCTAAAAAGTGGCACATTTGTAATGCCCCTGCTGAAAAATCCAGCTTAAACAGCTTAAAGGCTGTTTGGCTGGTTTCATAGATATATACACTAGATGTCGCCTGGCCTATTGTTGTCTATTGGACAGAATGCGTCAATAGCGCCGCCATCTTGCTACAGGGTAGCGCTCCTTTGAAATGAATGCGGGACCAAGGTACAGTGGAGGACTGTGGCCATGCAAAGCCAGAGATATACACATATATCTATGATCGGGAGTTTTCCTGGATGTTAGTATGTAATTTTTTTTTCTAATTAAGAAAATTATAATTTTACATCGCTTTTCTACATTGACGGATCAGTGACCGCACGGGCATTACTGACAAAAAGCTTGTGTTTGTGTGTACAGAAATGTACTATTCACCCTCCCTGTTAAATTTAATCTAATCCGTGTCCTGAAACACACCTCCTCTTCTGCTTTCACTTCTCATACTGACGGAGAGAGCGATTAGTTTGTGAATGAATCCCTCGAACGACTCTTTCACTATAATACAAGTTTCTGGCAGCGCAGCATCTCGTTGTCATATTTCTTTTGCATTGTTTGCTGATTTTATTCAACAAAACTAGCATAAGCCGAGTGTTTAGTGCGAGTTGGAGCGGCTTTGCCTTATGATGAATGCAGTAAGTGACTGTTATCCTCAATAACGTTACCTGATTAGCACAAAAGTTCAGAACATACAAAAACAAAAAAAAACTTAATATTACATATGAAATGTTCTGCCTTTGTGCTTTGTTTTCTTTGTTTGCTCGTTACTACAACCATAGACAGCGCTAAAGTCCCGCATCTTCACGTAATAACACTGACTTGACTAGTGCGGTTGAATGACATTTGTCCTGGGAGCACTGTACCAATGTGGCGGCGCTATTGACGCATGCTCAGGGTCCCTATGCGATATCTAGTGTATATATATCTATGGGCTGGTTTTAGCTGGTTAACCAGCGTGTTTTTAGAGGGGTTTTGGCCATTTCCAGGCTGGTTTACAGCCATTTCCAGCCTGGTCTTGGCTGATCAGGTGGTTTAGCTGGACATAGCTGGTTTTGGCTGGACTCCCAGCTTGGCTGACTGATCAAGCTGGTTTTGGCTGGTCATCTCCCCACTAATTATTATACAAATACAAACTTGCATTTTTGATGCAATTATCATGATTAATCACTTGACAGCACTTATATTAGTTTTTTAACTTATGCAATTTATTCTGGGTTAGATTTTACTAACACAGAAAGTGGTTTAATTTTAAAAGGTCTTAAAACTGGTTTCATTTTACTTGAGTGAACAAAAAAATACATATATATGCACATACAGTATTTATTCATTTTAATTCTCTCAAATCTCTGACTGACCTGAGAGAACAAACAAAACAAATATAGAAATCTTACATGGTAGTATGTTAGGATATCTGTTTTTCTCCTTGTTCTCTTCTTTATTGGCCTCTTCACATGTTCCTTGTATCGAACCGCCAGGTAAAGACTGTCAACAATACACAATATATAAGTTAACAACACTGAAAGTACATAGTAGGGCTGTGGTACCATGACAGAAATTGTGATTGTTGATAACTGCTAATGCCATTCTAATAATGATCAGTAACATTTATTAACAGAATATATGTAAAAATATTTATGCGTCCTGAGAAACATGATAGTAAAAGTTATACAAAAAATACAACTGTAGGCTGCAAAATCAATTACTTATGTTATATATTTATGTTTTGTTGCATGTTATGAGAAAACTGTACAAAATTCAGTCAGCAAACTGATAAAATTCCAAAATTTGTTACAATAAATGTCTCTGATTGGTGCGTTTTCAACTGTGACTAACCTAAGAGTCTCTGATTGTCTACTATAATTCATAAGCTCAGCAGGAATGTGTGTGATTGGCTGTAAGTCTCTTCTAATGCAACAAGTGCAGATTACAATGTAACATGGTAAACATGACATCAGTAATAGATTTAGATTGTGTGGAGGCTTTTTTGAAGCTTTATTATGAATTTGCAGACAATGTTTGTTCACTTTTGTGCCATTTTTCCCACAAGCCGTTATATATTAAGTTTTAGGGTGTAGAAACAATTTGTTTACTCATTTATGATTATTTATTATTATTAATAGTGTGCAGGATTTTTTTTTTGCAATTTTATCAGAAAATTGTAGGACATATTTGTTTATTTTTGTGCCGTTTTTCCCACAAGCCCTTATATATCTCATTTTATTTTGTAGAAGTATTCTGTTTATCCATTTATCATTAATTTATTAGGCATATCTGTTAAATTTGTGCCACATTTATTTAGTTTTATTGCACACATTTTTTACCGCTTGATCATAAGTGTGCCATGTTTGCCATAGGAGCCCATATACTGTATTTATTTACATCGAACAAAGGCATTTAAAAAATCTTTATCATGAATTAGAGCAGTGGTTCTCAAACTTTTTTCACCAAGTACCACCTTAGAAAAAAATCATCTCTCCAAGTACCACCTTACGACGCAATTTTTTGACCAGTATTAAAAAATAGCGTCTTAAGCCTAATTAAGCAGCTACAGGTGTGCACAGTTTTAAAACGATGCAGATTACTTCCTATTAGTAAGAATATGTATTATTGTCAGTCACTTTAAACATTTGAAATAGTCTGAACATTAACTGTGCTTGCAGATAAAAAAAAAAAAAGTTTTAGTTAAAATGTGCTTTTAAAAGTTCATAAAAAAAATGTTGCTGTTCTTAAAAGTAAAAAGGAAACTGCTGTACTTAAATCTAAAGTATTCATAGTAGCCTATTCATCAAAAGCTGGAAATGCTGCTTGGACCTTATAAATATAGGCTATATGTCATATTCAAACACTTTCAGACAAATCTTGAAATAAATGTTAAATGTACATGACAGGGTTCACACAGGCACAGCCTAATGAAAGTCAATTCCAGCACCTTTTTTTTTCAAGACTGACATGCTATGTATTGAAGACCTGAAATGTATTCTCAGCAACCCATAAAACATTGCATAGGAATAGATACAAATAAAAACCATTAATAATAATATTTATTAATCATATATTAATAGTATAATAAACCTGCACTAAGTCCTTGTGAAATCTTTTTTGTACTCAAGTAAAAATACTATTACACTGCTAAAATAATTTTTTTTAGTAAATAATACTAATATTAGGTAAAAGTACAAATTACTCTTTTAAAAAGTACTAGTTGGTTACTTTTGAAAAAAAATCTGATTTTCATTATGAAATCACTTGAATCACAAGTGTAAACCTGATTTAATGGTTTGATTGCTTACATCCCAAAGCTACATGTATAATTTGCACTAACAAAGGAATTATAGTCAATTTTTCCTTTCATGACAATTAATCTTTTTCAATAGCACTGGTAAAACTACCAAATAATCTTTAAGGCCATAGAGACACTTTTTGCCCATTTTTAAAAATATATATTTTTAAGCTTTGAAAGGTTAAATTAAAGTATATGGTAAAAAGATTTAAATTTAGCCTTTTATTTACATATTTTACACTATTTTCTTTACAATATGGCAAATTTGTTTCTTAAATAGCTGTACATCACATGTAGATTTTATTTTACACTTGATCTTAATCTAAAATAGAAACGTAAAAAAATACAAGTACACTGTCAGTAAAAAATAAAACAAATGACTTCATTTTACTTGAGGTATTTGAAATATGACGACATTACATTTATCAAAGCAGTGCTTTAAGAGCTTTATTGTAAATTGTGATAAATAAACAATAAGTAGGCTAACAATGGATTGCTTTGACCTGTAATGCTTTAGGACAGATCAGAATACAGCTAAATGTATAAATCACACAAATACCTCACCCAGAAACATTTCCAGCATAATTATTTTGTCGTAAAGAAATAAAAAATGTTCCACCTTTGCTAAAAGTAAGTTTCACTTCACAACACAGCCAAATAAGAAGACCATTAGCATTGTCATCTATCATGTATCAATCTATTTCTAAATATTTGATAACTTTGAATACTTTTGACTGAATTTAGTTAAGGAGCAAAGATAAATAATGTATACTTTAATAGTGGAAAGATCGCGATTGTGTTCAATCTGAGCACACACGCGATCATGAGAGCACTTGCAGTTCATTTGAAAAAAGCCTATTTAAGAGCTCGCATATCTGTTTTAGCGATTTGCACACATGAATGCGCTCTCGTGTTAAAATAAAGCACTCGCCGCATTTGCAGAAATGAGTTATTGCGCAATACCTTCATTCCCGCGCCGCCATTCAGAATGTATTAGAGGAGTGACAGGTCAGAGGCGAGTCGACTGGCTGTCGGAGAGCGAAACGTGTATGAAGATCATCAAATAGGCAGGAAATATGTCCGCGGTTTAATTACTCTGCTAGACATCTCTGTAGTGAAAACATCCGAGAAGCATTATTCCAACAAAACATTTTTTTTAAAGTTGTTTTTTCTGTTTCTGCAACACAGAAAGCCTTTGTCCCGCCCTTACGTTTCACGCAACTAGACAAGGTCGACTGTGATTGGCCACTTTTTATGTCAGTCAAATCACGCTTCAGAATCAATTCTTAAACTTCGGAAACTGATTTTCAGCAGCTTATGACACAATGCACTAAAATAAACACTCTAAGCACAGCGTTGTGATTGTACGCTTCACAAAACAGCCAATGCTGAACACATCAATGTTATATTACACATTAAAGGATTAAAAGTGTTAATGTTTCTTTCATTATTCAGCGATTCCTCCGCGTACCACTAGGAGGAAGCCCGCGTACCACTAGTGGTACGCGTACCACAGTTTGAGAACCACTGAATTAGAGAACCTTAATTTTTGTGCCATTTTTCCCACAAGCCCAATATATTTAATTTTAGTGTTTAGAAACAATTCGTTTACCCATTTATGATTTCATTTTTGTGCCACAAGAACACATTTATTTAGTTTTTTTTGGACTCAGGCATTTGTTTGTCCAAAATAATGATTTTGTAAGACATATACAGTTGAAGTCAGAATTATTCGAAAGTGAAAGTAGATAATGAGAGGCCTTATCTCTCATTCTCGTGCTGTAGATGCTCTGTTTAACTGTTTTCTTGCTAGTGAAGCGCTCGCTTACAAAGTCGTCATGTAAATAGCAAATGCGCTATGGCGCAACGCAACTGGCTCTAAAAGGGAATGGGAGATGAGACTGATTGGTTTATTCTCAAAACACACATATAACTCATTAAGAAAATAAGCTTAACCCTTTTAGACCATGCGGAACGGCGCAAAGCGGATTTTTCCGTCCTTATATAAGGAAAAGTGGATTCTGACACACCCTGAATGCGTTTGCGCCCTGCGCTTTGGGCATGGATCGTCAAAATAGAGCCCTTAGTTTTATTGCCTAGAGCTAATTTTATATCCCTTCATAGTAAATTTGTAAGACATATTTGTTCATTTTTGCAATGAGAACTCTCATTTTATACCCCTTTATCATGAATTTGTTAGACATATAAATAGACAAGCATTTTTACTTCTTTGTATCATGTATTTTTTAGACATATTTGTTCCTTTTTAGTTAACTATTTATGCCACAAGCCCTTATAGATTTTGTTTCATTAATTACACAGATGTATTTTTACCCCTAATCATGAATTTTGTAGGACATTTATGTCCATTTTTGTGCCTTTTTTGTCATAAGATCAAATGGCGTATAATGCACACAAGCATTTTTACTGCTTTTAATCATATTTGTTATCCATATATATTTTTTTTGTTTACCATTTATGCCATAAGCCCTTGAAGATTTTGTTTCATTAATTGCACAGATGCATTTTTACCCCTTCATCATGAATTTGTAGGACATATTTGTCCATTTTTGTGCCTTTTTTGTCATGAGATCAGTATATTGCACACAAGCATTTTTACTGCTTTTAATCATATTTGTTAGGCATATTTGTTCTTTTTTTAATCATTTATGCCACAAGCCCTTAAAGATTTTGTTTCATTAATTGCACAGATGCATTTTTACCCCTTCATCATGAATTTGTAGGACATATTTATTCATTTGTATGCCTTTTTTGTCATAAGAGCATACTTTATATTGCATACAAGCATTTTTTACTGATTTTAATCATTTGTTAGGCATATTTGTTCTTTTTTATCCTTTTTTTGCCACAAGCCCTTATAGATTTCGTTTTATTAGATGCACTTTTACCTCTTTATCATGAATTTGTAGGACATGTTTGTTCATTTTTGTGCTGCAAGCTCTCGTAGATTTAATTTTTGATGCACACAAGCATTTTTACCTTGTTAACTTGACTTTGCAAGACATATTTGTTACCTTTACTGGCATTTTTTTTCTGCCACAAGACGTTGTAAATGTCTCAAATTGCTACCCAACGCATGAATTTTGTGCAAACCTGATCATGCTGTTCAAATTCCCACCGAAGCTGTCATTAAGTTATAGCTCAAATGAATGATATTACATGTGCTTTGTTCCTGTATGTA